CAGAAATATTAGACAAGACTCAGAAATAAAAAGAATGGAAATAAAAACAGAAGAGTATAAGCTAAAGGCATTTGCAGATGACTTGGTATTTATTTTAGAAGAACCACAAAAATCTGGACCCAAGTTAATAAAAATGATAGCAGAGTATGGTGAAGTTGCAGGACTGAAAATGAATAAAGAGAAAACTAAAATACTAGTTAAAAATGATACAGAGAAACAAACAAGCAAAAAAAAAGAGTTGATGAAGAATCCAGCTAACAGCAAGATGCGCAACTATTCAAGAAGATAACTATATGAAACTGTTACAACAAATCAAATTAGATTTGGAGAAATTGAAAAACCTGCAGCTATCGTTGATAGGAAGGATAGCCACAATAAAAACGAACATTTTGCTGAGATTGTTACTCTTATTTCAAACAATCCTGATAAAATCAGAAAAACAATTCTTTGAAGAACTAAATAAAATGATATTCAAATATATCTGGTAAGAGAAAAAAGCAAGAATAAGATTGCAACTGCTTCAAGATCCTAAACTTAAAGGGGGCTTTGGGTTGCCAGTTTGGGAGCTATATTACCAGGCCTTTGCACATTTCTGGGTGAAAGAAATGGGTAAATCTGAGACATAAAAGACTATTAACTTTGGAGGAACATAACCTCCAACTGGGGTGGCATGCTTTTCTATGGCATGGGAAGAATTAAATACATGGATATTTTCAAAGACACCTTGTTAGAAATGTACTATTGTCAGCATGGAGGAAAATTAAAGAAAGACATTACATGAAAATACCAGTCTGGGTCTCCATGATGGAGGCACTGATACATCCGAATATGATTAATATGGAAAAAATTGTAAGGTATAAGACATTTTCAATGATAAAGGGAACTTAAATCTAAACAAGAACTGACTAATTAAGGGATTGATTTAGCAAGGTGGCCAAATGTACAAATACAACCAAGATATGAGAAAGATGCAAGAATGTATGGTTTCTATAAAGAACCAACAGAACTAGACCAGATATTGCTAGGGACAGATGAAAAATTAATTTAAAAAAATATAGGTGCTTACTGACTATTAAAATGAAAGAAGAGCAAGTGAAAGAAACAATGATAAGATGGGCTAAAAACTTTGGTTATGCAATAGAATTAGATAAATGGCAGAAATTGTGTGATAGAAATTGTAAACTAACAATGTCAAAAGCCTATAAGGAAAATTTATACAAAATATTTTATAGGTGACTTTTGCCACCAGAGAGGTTGGCAAAGATGTTTGAAAATCTATCAGCTAAATGTTGGAATTTTAATCAGATACCAGGTTCATATTATTATATGTGGTGGACATGTCCGAAGGCAAAAAAATATTGGACTAAATACATACTTGGTTAGAAAAAATGATAAAGCAACATATAGATTTGAAACCAGAAATATTCCTGCTGGGTATACCACCAGAATAATATAATAAAGGGAATACATATTTAATTTTGCATTTAGTACCAGCAACAAGAATAGTGTTTGCATAACAATAGAAAAATGATGAGATCCTGACAGATGAAAGCATAATAAAAAAATATTACTGCAGAATGTGCTGAGATGGATAGATTGACACTTAAGATAAAAGAAAAGGAAGAAACAGAATATTTTTTAACATGGGATTTATTTTTCCAATGGTTAACTAACAGAAACAGAAGTTACAAACTAAACAGAATTTAGAAAGATAGTAAGAATTTGTACTGAAAATTTTGCAAGATGGATAAACTAATTGTATTACTATGCTGTGATTAATACTTATATGTTTATTAAGATTACCAGTATTACTTTGGTTATTGTATCTTTACTTAAAATTAATTGTGCCCAGACAACACACTGCTCAGACAAACATGGAATTTTTATGTTTTTTAAAAGAAAAATGTACCAATAAAACATATATTCAAAAAAACCAAAACCCCCACAATATCAAATACAGCTTAATTTTTAAAATTCTGGTTTATAATCATTTGTAGTAAAAATTATATTCTAAGTCAATTTATTAATGTATTTTCTAATAAATATTTACAGATTAAGAAATTAAGTATTAACTGGTGAGGCATTTTAAAGTACTTCTTTCATTTCACTTACATCTTGTTTATGATTACTATTTTAATATTGTCTCTTTAAGAATTGACTAAAATAATAAGCAATAAAAAAGCAAAATATTTCTAATGACAAGCACCAAGCACTATTTTGCTATTAAGTAACATTTTTCTCTTACAGAATAGTTGATCAGTTTTTAAGAAGCTGCTTGTTACCATAGGTATGTAAAGATCAAATATTTTTGAGAAATATTTTGTGAACATTTAATCTACAAACCCTCCTCTCTTCCTTATATTTTTTTCAAGTATCTTTTCAAAAGTATTGTTTTCTGAAAAGACTTTGAATCAAGACCTGGCACCAATCTTATTGTAACTAATTCATTATTACATAACACTACTGAATTAAATATTTCCTTGTTTACTGTTTCTTCCACCTGCACTTTCTTCTGTATAGATAGTCCTCAACTTTGATCACAGTTGAGCCCAGAATTAGGGTCATAAGTTGTTGCGGTCATAAGTCGAGGCCCCTACATGACCAGAAGTAATTTTCCAGCCTTTTAATTGCAGTGCTCACATGACTATGAGATACTGCTATAGTTGTATACACTGGCTGGATGCCAAGTGCCTGAATTTTAATCACATGACCACAGAGTGCTCTCACAATTGTAAGTATGCTGCCTCAATTGTAAGTATGAAGACAGTTATCAAGGTACTTTTTTAGTGCTGTCCTAATCTCGAGTGATTATTAAATAAGGCAGTTGGTAAGCAAAGACTATCTGTAATTTTGACTTATTCAATACTTCCACCATGCAACTCCATTTTGATTCTAGTGTAGTTTACTATGAAAAGCTGTGGCATTTTAGAATTGGAGTAGATAAATATTTGGTGAATAAGGCTATTGATTCATAGTGGCTAAGTCTTCATAACAGAGAAATTTATTTCTTAATATAGTTGCTTGGAAGTGGATAAGTGGAAATCCATGGGAATAGAATGTTGGATTACATAACACGATTCAGTACATTTCTTATGTTACATATTTTTTCTATTCAGGCTTGAATCAAAGATATAAATGGATTAATTAAAAATTTGAAACTATTTACTTACCAAAGTTATTTCAACCTCTCCACCAGGAGCATAGACAATTCCATCATAATCTCCATATAAATAAAAATGTTGTATTCTGCCATAAAGTGAAGCTTTTTTATTTGATCGTCCCATTTTTACCTAACACATAAACAGCAGTTATTTTTTTTTACATAAAGATTTAACTTAATCTAAAAATAATTTCTATGTGGTTATAATTTGTAAAAATATCTAACATTTTATCATAAATGTAAGTAACGAATAAAAAGATTCATCATTATACTTCTATTATAGCTTTTCAGAAACAATTTTTGACAAAATATTTTCTAATGCAGTTCCTAAGGTCTCCTCTTGGGCGATAAGGCACAGTTTTCTAGGGAGCAACTAGCTTCAATAATAGGGAGTTATACAGTAATTAATTTCTTTGTTTATTCTTTTGTAATGATTAGAAAGTTGATTGTTTCTAAAAAAAATCAATTTAAAATTATTTTAAGATTTTCTTTCCAGGATTTAAAAGTTTGTGAACGTTTTTGTAATTTTTTTTTAAAGACTTCTGCACATATATGACTAAAAACATGATCTGTTCTCTACACAAATCCTAAAATCAAATAAAAAGAACTCAGTTGAACAAATGAAACTGAAACAAAAGTTTGTTTCAGTTTTAGTACACTTTTAATAATATTTTAATATTTGTAGTTTTAAAAAAAATTAAATTATTTTTATTATTATTATATTAATTATTTTTATTTTATTATATTAAGCCACCCAGTCAACTTGCAGGGGAGATTTGCAGCATAAAAAATTAATAAACAAATAAAATGAATTAAAAATATTACACTTAAATTGGTAAGTATAGGGCCAACCTCTAGCAATTTTTTTTAGAAGTCTTCCAAGATACCCATGGCAATTTTCAAACTATATATTGTAGAAATAGCTACATTGGAACAAATATGCACTTATCTTGCAAGGATAGCTACTGGGAAATATGCTGGGGAACACGGTAGAAAGCCAGGAAAATATAAGCAGTAACCTCAGTATCATGCCTTGAATAAATAGACGGGTTACATCCACTATTAAAGCTATTTTATGAATATATAAATCTTGTAATGGCAACAATTTTTTAAAAGCACCAATGATATACTCTCAAAAATCTTACTGATTTTTCCACTAGCTGAAAAAGGAAGTTAAACCCCAAATATTATTTCTATGCATGTAGCAAACTTTATCGATTTGAGAAATGATTTAACTAACTTATTTAATCAACGAAAAGAATATAATTTAATTATATTAGATTATGTAGTATTCACAGCCCATCAAATATACATTATGCAATCTTTTCAAAAGTAATTAACTTACCAACTGCCCTTTTTTATATATTTTTCCATCCCATTCAATTGCCAAATATTTAGTCCAAGGTGACAGTATTCTTTTAGAAGCCTTATCAGTACGTACAACTGATCCATCACACTCAAAAAATTTGATTTCTTTATCATACTTTTCATGGCAATTCTTGAGCCATGATGCAAATTGCTTATCATTCATTCTGTATTCCTGTGGAAAGTTGTGTATATATACACAGATATATATATATATATGTAACATGTATAATTTTTTTCAATTATTGAATGATTATTGTTGAACAAAGCTTACTCTTCTTGCATTATTCAGAATTGCAGCTTAAATGTAATTAGTTAATAATTTATATCTTTCCCAATGTGTACCTTAAAAGTGATACTTATAATTCTAATCCTATTTTTAAAAGATGGTCAGGACAATAAAATTAAAGAGGCAGTGGCATGTTCATTGTCTCTGATTAGGAATTTTGATTTATATTTCCTTGTATCCATACAGGTAGACCTCAACATACGGTAATTTCTTTAGTGACCATTCAGTTAAAACAGCACTGAAAAAAGTGACTTATGACTGTTTTTCACACTTGACTATTTGCAGCACCCCCTTGGTCACATGATGCTTGGCAACTGACTTATATTTATGACGGTTGCAGTGTCCCAGGGATTTGTGATCATCTTTTGCGATCTTCTGACAAGCAAAGAAAATGGGAGAGTCAAATTCATTTTACAACGATAATACCAACTCACTAACTGCGGTGATTCACTTAACAAGTGTGGCAAGAAAGGTCATAAAATGGGGCAAAATTCACTTAGTAACTGTCTTGCGTAGTTAACAGAAATTTGGGTTCAATTGTGGTAATAAATAAATGATTACCTGTACTTAGTATACCAGGGTTCAGAAATCATTACAATCCTCTTTTTGGTACACCCAACTCTTTTATACATATTTATAAAACATCACTGGATGAGTATTCATACTCAATATTCTTCAGCAGCAGGTTTAATGTGATCCAATAGTAATTTATTGCCTTCATAAGTTTTTTCTGATGTGATATTCACAGCAAAGGCAAGAAATTAGATGAAGACAATTTTTTAAAATTTTGCAATGCCATTAATGAAGCATCTTTGAGTTTTATGTCAAGAATAAGGATAAGTTGATGTATCAATTCCACTATAGTTATCATAATGCTAGGGACCAACAAAAGGTACTTTACCAAGGTCCTCTCAAATCTCAGACTGTCCCAAAACTGCAATAGATTATATTTTCTTACTATATAAAAGCACAAATCACAATAAAATTTACTAGATCTAATTATTTTCTAAAGGCATATACACAGTATTAGAAAACAAATAGATTCAATATTACCCTTCCATTAATCACTTTTGTAAAAATTGTATTTCTATCTTTCAACTTTGATTCCAAATTTATGAAAGTCAGTTTGTTTGTGGTGACTTCAAAGCTGCCATCTGTAAATAATACTCCAGATATTCGGTTGTAACATTCAATTGGAACGGACCCTTTCTTTTTGGGCAAAGCACACCATTCAAAGCTTGGGAAAAAAAGACAACATTTAGAAACATAGAAAGAAAAAATATGTATGTATATGTATAAACTTTAGAACTAATTCAATCTTACTCGGCTACAGTTGTATATGGGATTAATCTTCCATTCCAAAAACATTCAAAAATAGCGTTTTCCCCTCTGGCTCTTTTTTCTATTATATAACATTCCTCTTCTTCATCTTCACCTTCATCATCTTCATCTGTGAGTTATAAATTTAAAAGTTATTTTCATATCATTGTATGTAGAAATGCAAAACAGAATAGTTTTCCAAATTATGGAAAAGAAACGCAAACAAGATGCCTACTTAAAATTATTCTTCAAAAATTGATAATAAAATTGATTTCTAATACAATCAAATGTTTATGTATAAGGAGAGTATTGTATAACTGTGCTCGGTTCCTATAATTAAACTGTATATTAGCTAACATTTTGGCTTGAAAAAGCTGGGTACTGTTGCTTTAGAGGCCAATGTATTATCAAGCACGTACTGTACATCCACCAATAGTTGTGGCTGGCTGCTAAAAACTGTCAACCTTTCAGGGTCTAAACAAGAAGCACAACCAGATAACTAAGCTTACTTTATTATAAGGTTACATTAACAGAATCTTGGCAGACTGAAATTATTTCCCTCCTGGTTTCTTTTTAGTCTCTGGAAAATGTGAAGGATTCTTTCTGAAATGCTTTGCATGCACCTGTGGACTGAACTGCTTTATCAGACCATTATCCTGGCTGCGAGTGTGCTTCTTCATTCTCACATGCCATCACCCTTACTATCACTGGAGTCTTTTTTCTTATTTTTCTTTAAACTTGCAATCTCTCTGGCCAAGAGATCTCTCTAAGAAGTTTGTTACTATCATCAAATTCTTTCTTGATCTGGAAATTTCTCCCCATTCCCTGCTTCTTCACCTGCCTGCCCATTCCTTGTTTGGATTCTTAGACTGAAGGTGTATTTATTATATTTAAAGGACAGAAAAATATCTAGACCTAACTAAACTGAGAATGGATGAGCTAGCAGATGAATCACAATCCATTCTACAAAATTGGTTTGAAATGTAGCTTATTAATCAATGATTCATGGAAAGTTACATAAATAATTTTAATTGTCACCAAACACATAAAAACAATCCTATCCCCCCAACTCCCTATGTATTTATTTATTAAATTTATTTAACACTCATCTTGCTGTCATGAGACTTTGTCATGGGAAACTTACAATCTGACAAAACAATTAAAACTAACTTTAATTAATTAAATGATAAAAATAATAAGACAATACATTAAAATAACAAAGAAATAGCTAAGATAGTGGCAGGTATGCAAGAGTGGAGATCAGTGGATTATAGAAGTTAGGATGGCACAATGTATTTTTAATATAGCTCCAATATACCAAGAATTGGTATTCAGAAACTAGTTGTCCTTCAATACAGGCATTTTACAATGCCCCCTAACGCTAGGTAGTATAATATTTAAAATCATGGGAACATGATCCAATTTATCATATTAGTATGTGAATGATAAATAGCATTTATCCCAAGCAATTACTCACTTGAAAAGATAGGATAGGTTTCTTTGTAATATAAGAAAGGATGGTAACGTATAATTCCTTCCACTATTCCATTTCCTTCAACAGAAGCTTTGAACTCAAAGCTTTCTGCTGCTGTATTTATATATAACGTCTGCATATCCTTGATTTCTCTAAGATTCACAATCCGAGGTGTCCTCCCCTTTTCAAACAGTGAAACCTAAACAGATAATGAGTGTTAGTCTGTCATTCTATGAATTTTTTGACAAAGGGTGAATAATAAAACCCAAGGAAGATTAAATTAAATGCCTCAATTTATTCTTTAAAATTTGAATTTTATAACCAATAGTTCAAAGAACTGATAACTCATATACCGTATTTTTCGGTGTATAAGATGCACT